TCTTATATTGTAAAACCACCCCACCCCATGGTTAACCCCTACTCACAGCTTCAACCGTTTCACCAAGGCGTCGATGAACCCGTTTGTCAATCTCTTAAATGCAGAGGGTATGGCGTCGTCATTATTATTGGCCTACTGGTAATGCACTGGGTCTGTTTGTTATAAGTGGCATATATGGGAGCCATTTTTTTCATAATAAAATTTTGTCGTGTCTTTTAATTTTCTTGACATCTGGATAAAATTCTCAACCTCAGAAAACATTTCAAAAAATCTGAGGGTTTTTAACAAATTAGGTTGGGTCGAAAAACTTACTCCAATGTCGGATTTTATGACTATCTATTATCAGTGCTTAGGAAAAACCCGAAATAAATATGTCAGCAGGGTTGAATGAAAATTTAAAATGAACTAAAAAGAATATAAAATAATTATTTCCATAATGAAACTGACCTACAAAAAAATATTTGGTGAAAATTGCCTCTCCGCTTCAATAGGGAAAAAGTTTTAGAAACGATTTTATTATTTTTTTTTTGCAATTTGGCATTATTTTCTTCTGTGAAGCCAATTTAATATAAAACACCTAAATTTTCTTGTTTTCTTTATTTTCACTTGAATTTCTTTTAATTGTTATGGGCTTTTCTTTTTTTGTACATTGTAGTTTGGGATTTGCAAAATGTGTTTTTTTGACCAGCCACAGAGACAACTACAAGGTTGTAAACTCATTTTTGTTTTGTTTAAATATCAAAAGTTGAAATAATAAAAAAGTGAGCTCTTTTTTATTTATTTTTCTTTTTTTTGTGTGTGTTTTCACCTTTAAAACGTTTGCTGCTCTATGATGACCCAAAAAAAAGTAACAACAAAACACCAAACTTAACGAAAAAAAAAAAACAAAATCCCCTTAACAACACCTAACTCAATATGGTTGGGCCAAGGTTGTTTCTTTTCCATTCTTACAAATAGTTTTTTCAACAAACTATTATACCCTGCCATCCATCTATGTGTGTTCTAAGGATAAACCATATCGAAGTGGGGCTACCACTAGTTTTCCTCGTAACATTTGTTAAATTACCTAACATTTGCCGTAAATGTACCACCCACTCACCACCGTTAGCCAAGGGGCTGAAATGGGATTATTTATAGCCTCTTATCAGGTGATGATTTGATTTGATAAATTCGGAAAGTTTTTCCTTGCCATTTACATAGAAATGGAACACATGCTTCGTTTTATGTTTCTCGTATCAATTTATTTCCTTTATCAATGTTTTTTTTTTTTTTCTTTGAAAAATTTGATTTATTTTCTTCCTCATATATATGTAGATACAACCATTATTTTTTGGCTATTTTTAACTGTAACCGTCATCATAGTCATCCCCACCGCCACCGCCGGCCATGGGTTAATTGGTTGGGAATTTATGGTCTTGCACTTGTGGCTTTATACAAATAGTTTCATTATGGGGCCGCCGGCAAACTATTTTTATGAGCAGAGCTGGAGCAGCTTTTTACTGTTGTTGTTGTTTTATCTACCATTTGGGTGTCGGTGGCTTCCATCATATCGGACTTATTACTTGGTGATTATGTTATGTCAAAACACACCTTAAATTTTGAAGGTTTTTTGGCACTTGTTTGCTGTGGTTTTTTTCACTTTTTTTGGTTTTCTTCTCCCCCCAGCTATAAAGTATAACAGCAGATAATAATGATGATAATAATAATTAGCTCAAAATATGTTTGTTGTATTTTTTTAAATTGTTATGGCTTTGTTTTTGTGAATTATTTTCGAAGAATATTTAATAACATAACGAGAAAATAGCCAGGCCAGGCTCACAATGATGGTCAGGAGGGAGGTTTTAATTACTTCCACACTTTTAAAATTCTTTAAATTTAATTATTTTTATTCGTGCTGAGTTTGAGATTTTCTTAAGAACTTTTAATTTTTTATTGTGTGAATTCAGAGTTCTAATATTGGGCATCCATTAAACTTGCCATTAATTGTGGCAAACATAATGAAAATACTGAGTATCCGGAGGTACCATTATGTGGGGGCTATACGAAAATGTGGACCTATACATACTATGTTACGCTACCGGTGCTAGAACTCATTACGAACTACAAATGAAAATTTTTGGACAAATGCGTGGAAAAAATGTGGCAAAAACAGCTGTAAGTTCGGCCGTGAACTTTGATTACCCTCCACCATTTGGAAAAAACTTGGCAATTTTCAAAAAAAAAAAAAAAAAAAAAAAAATTAAATAATAAAATAAAATAAAATCCGTTAAAAATTCTGTTGAAAACTTAAAAATACCAAATGTGCGTTATATTAGGTTCTAAACGACGCCGTGGGCCTGCATAGGTACCATTTGTCAAAAACAATTACAATATTCAAATGCGAAACTTGAAAAAAAATCGGTGAATAATGTAGCTAAAATCATCAATATAGGGAGGTACTATTATATGGGGGCTATACCAAAATGTGGACCTGCACCGACAATTTTCTGTCATAGGCTGCAGTATCCATTTTGAACATCAAATTTGAAACAATTCCGATGAATAATGTCGCTAAAATCATTAAAGTAACAAATATCGGCCGGTACCGTTACATGGGGGCTATACGAAGACCTGGAGCTGCACAGACAATTTTCTGTCATAGGCGGCAGTATCCATTTTGAACTTTAAATACCAAATTTGAAACAATTCCAGTGAATAATGTCGCTAAAATCATCAAAACACCGAATGTCGGGAGGTACAGTTATGTGGAGGCTATACATGGCCCATTTTCAATACTGAAAGTTCTACAAACATAATATACATTTGAGTAAAATTTTGTCAATCTACTTTATTTCGTTCGGAAGCTAGAGTGACAACGACATAGAATTTTATGCTGATCAAAAATATATACAGGGTGAGATAAAAAAACTGTAACAATGTCAAACGCCATATTTTTTCCATTTTTTTATTAATTTTATTGAATGAAAGCAAAAATGTCGGAAATAGGATCAAATTTTAGAATGAGTTTAGATTTATGGCCTTTAAACGGCCAAAGAAACCGTCACACGCTGCCCGAATGTTGCTCTGCGGTATTTTGGCCCATTCCCGGCGAAGCGGTTGCTTGAGGTGATCGGCACTTTGGTATTTTTTAGTACTAACCTTGCTTTCCAAAATACTCCAGACACAATAGTCCAACGGATTGGTATCCGGAGATTTTGGTGGCCAATGCGCGCTGGAAATGAAGCGAGGAACCTCATTTTGTAACCATTCTTGGGTGGCGTGTGCTAAGAGCGACGGTGCTGAGTCCTATTGGAATGTCCAAGGTCCGCGGCCAAAATGTTTGCGTGCCCAAGGCTTTAATACACCCTCCAGAATATTTTTGCGATAATATTTTGCATTAATTCTTATGCAACGGCGGATTAAAAGGAGCGGCCGGCGCTTGAGTTCTGGTAGCCAACCGAAGGTACACATTTTCAGCTGACCTTTTTTCCAAGTACACCATCATTTTGTTTGTTTACTCTAGAGCCGACCATGGTGATGTTTTCTCATCGGAGAAAACAAAATTTGGCAGTTCACCACTTTGACCAAGCGAAGCTACTTTTTAGCTCTTTTGAGTCTATTTTCTTTCTATTGCGGTGCAAGTTCTTGAACTTTTTGGAATTTCAATGGCTTTACCCCAAGCTCTTTTTTCAATATTTGCCGAATGGAATATTGCGATATGTTCACGAACCACTAGCCATTTTTCGGCCACTGCGACGTGGATTTCGATCAAGTCTCTTTTTTTACTTTTCGAACCATTTCTGCTGATTTTGCTGTTTTCTTCCGTCAACTTCCTTGGCGTCGGGCTATGCTACCAGTATCACGGTAACGGGCACTAGAGATTTATTCACATTTAAATGGCGGAGTGCTCTAACGATAGCCACTTGTTGTTTTCCAGCCAAATATAAAGAAATGACAGTATCACGCTTGAGTTCCATCACGAATAACTTTTTTCCTGGAAAATTCTCACCAAAATGCTTTTGTGCGCTTGTAAAGAATATAATGAGCTGTCACTGGAATAATTTAAACAGCTGTCGGACGAGTGGCTTAGAAATGACAGCAGTCTGAATTTGGCTGAAGTTTTTTCATCTCACCCTGTATGTAGCTTACGACCCATTTAACTAACCAATATTTATTTGTTCTTTATTATGAATTTGTTAGATGAGTGCCAATAAAAAATAGATTCTTTAATAAATTTATCAATTTCTTAAATTCTTGCTACCATGGAACCTTTGAGATACTTTCGCCTAGCTGAGTTGGCTTTATATATACAAAGCAAAATTTCTTCTAAATCTGTCTAACTTTTTTCTAAAAAAATTGCCCATTGAATAGTTTTCTTTTTGATTACACCTCCTCAAAAAATGTATGAAACAAACATGTCCCCCTTTTAAAGAGAAAAGGTTTTTTTCATTACAACGCCAATCTCTCCACTGCAAAGTTCATTTTGGCTCCGACCGATCTTCTAGTAGTGCTTAGTATGTTTATAATTAAGTAAATGCAAAACAAGCAGCCAAAACACATGAACAACAAACTCTCTTTAGGCGGATTTCATCTTTGGCCACGTTATTGTAAATAAAATGACCAGCGAAGCATGACCATAACAACAGCAAGACCAAACGCGAAACAAAAGATCTACTTCTTCCTCCAACCTCCCTCTTCTCTCTCACATTTTCATAGACTTCTTTAAAGTTAGTAACCATGTGGACTATTATTACCACCATAGTCGGTTAACCTTCCTCCTCCCCCTCACTAAACAACAACAATTTCAAATCAAGTTGATTTACCTACCAACATCATGTGATGATCATGAGATGGATGGTCGGCCATCATCACTGCGATGATAATGGAATCAAACTCAAATATTGTAATTTCTTTGAAATTTTGTTGTAGTCTATTATTTTGTTTGTTGCCGAATTAATTAAAATTTCGTTTCATTTCATTGCATTTCATTTATTATTGTCTATCTTCTTCTCTCCTTGCAGAAATTCGCCATCAACAATTTCGCCTGAATATGTCGCGTGATTATGAATTCTATGGCGTGGCTCAAGACGATCCTCAACTTATAGCATTCCTGCGTGAAATCCATATGCGCAAATATTCAATGCACTTTCTGAAATCACGAACGACGGATGGCAGCGGCGGTGGGGGTGTTGGTGTTGAAACGGCAGCCACCTCCTCCTCAACACTGGGTCCCGGCAATGGCGGCACCCCAGGCGGCAATCTAATCGGCGTTCAACCGCATTTCAATTTCAGTGCCCATCCCAATGAATTAACACCCAAAATGGCCTATTATGTGGCCAATTTGCTGCAAGGTAAAACCAACGGTGCCGTCATACAATCGCTGACCGGTTCTTTGGGTCATCTAATGACAGCCCCATGGCTGGCGGACACCTTAAATTGGGCCGGTATTATTGTGGAACCGGAGCCCAGGCGATTTTTTACTTTGCGCAAGCAAAATGGTTTGCGGCCCCGTGTACAAGTGGTACATGCCTGCGTTTCACCAAATCCTTATCCCAAAGAGGTAGGCGAAATAACATACAATCGGAATGGATTTTAACTAATTGTTTTGTTTTTTTTTTTTTTCGTTTTTTCCAGATTACCGTACACAACGAAGAGTCTGAAGTGCGAATTAATAGTCTGCTTGACGAGGAGACGACATGGTTCAATTCGCGTGTCAAATGTTTTCCGCTTTATACTATCATGCTAGCTTCAAATCGTGTTGAATACGATCTTCTTAGCTTGGGTGTGCATGGTCATGAGTTGGAGGTGAGTGTAACGTATTTTGTTGTTGTTGTAATCCAAAGAAATCTTCATTTTTTTTGGTGGCTACGAATTTGATGTGCCCTATAATGCGTGTGAATGAAGTTGGGAAATAAAATATTTCTAAAGTAAAGCATACTTTAAGGCGTCCTACTTTAAAATGAAAATAAAAATTAGCACATTTGTTTTTTAAGAAAAAAAAAAAATACGGCCAAAACGTGTCCTATCGAAATAATGGCTTTAGAAGCTAGGTATATTGGGATCAAATCAGTTTCAGGACCTTTGAAGTCGATATAGAAGGGGGTACACCTGTCTGTCTGATAGATGGTCCACGAAAGCAGCATCCGATTTGGTAAACTTTTAAATTCCTTCACCGATTTCCAAAGAAAATAGTTTGCCGCATAAAAAGAGAATGGATCATCCGATTTTATTCAAACTTTGCAAATCACAATAATTGTAACAGTGTGACGTCAGGATCGAAAATATACAATTTTGGCCAACTCCATCAAGTACCTCCCCCACAAGGAGTCAAAATTTTGAATATCCATGCAGCTCATAAAACGCGAAATTGACATCCGATTCCATTCAGATTTGAATCATATCAACATTTCTATCTATACAATATATGTTATAAAGATGACAGAGATCGGACCATTCCTTCTGGTACCTTCTTCACAAAGTGTCAAAGTTTTAAATAGCCAAAACGATTATAAAATCCGAAATAAGCATCCGATTCTCTTCACATTTCACACATCCCATTATTTGTACTAACACAAGATCTGCTGTGAAGATGGAATTTGTCGGTCCCTTATACTACATTATACTTCCGTGGACTATATCTGATACCTGACGCATATTTTAACATTTTCTTAAAATTATCACATATCTCATATAAAGTGAAGGAGGGTCAACAATTTAAATAATTACAACAAAAGTCAAAATATATTTAAATAATCGAACATTAGCTCAGGGTATACATCTGTCGGCAAACCTACTGATACTCTTTAAGTTATTTTATTAGCATTTGATAAAGTGTGAAAAATGAATTCTCGTACCTCCCCCATAAAAGTTAAACATTTTCCAAGGACAAAATTATCAATAAGAGGAGGAAGTGGTCACGGGGAATTTTAAAAACTCTTTTTTTAGATTAAAAAAGGATGGATTTGAATGATCCAAATTGTGTGCGAGAATTTTTCCCTAAGAAAAAATATATAGGGCCCTTCAAGATTAAAAACAGACAATGACGTGAAACAGATGTTCGGGCCAAACATTAATTGCATTTAGACATTTTTGGTAGTATCAGTTGATATATGTTCTCATCACCTCCAAGGAAAATTGCTAATGTCACCAAAACTTTACATTCCTACTGCTGCACAAGCCTGGTGACATTTCTATACTACCCGAACACATTGAAAATCAAAATATGACTAAAAAACTATATTTCAAATATATGTGTTGTGTTAATTGGCCCTGGTGTTTGATTGCATGCTGGCGGTGCTATTTTACAATTGCCTTACAATTAAGCAATAGTGGTAGTATCTACTTAAACTACTACTCCACCTTTAAGTCAAACACAAACAAAAACACCTTCTACACCTTTTCAGAGCACACAAAAAATGAAAGTGTTTTTTAATTAGTTGTAGTTGTTTTTTTTTTCTTATTTTGTATAAAACTAAATCATTAACACAAATCATGACTAATTTCAACGATGTTTTTTTTCGTTTGTCTCTTTTCTTTACAGATCTTACAAACATTACCTTTTGACAAAATAAGAATTGAAATAATTTCAATACATTTATTGGAGAATCAAGAGGATGTTAGCAGTTATGTTCAAACATTAACCAAGTTCCTACAGCGGAAAGGCTATAAATTGCAAAAGAAATTCGGACGCAATTATTTCTATCAACGCCTACCCTCAGCGGCACAAATGAGTGCCACCTCACCAACACGAACCCGAAAAAAAGATATACTACTGAAGACGCCTTAAAAGCCTTTATACAATTAATGTGTTTTTTTTCTCTGTTTGTTTATTAAAAATGAAACAAAAACATATAACAAAATGAAAAATCATAGATGATATATAATTATTATATATCATTATTAATTATTATTATTATAGGTACACAACAAAACACACACACACATACAAATATAATTATTATTATTAATAATATTCAAGCAACACAACAAAAAATGTTTATTTTTTAAGTTCAAATGCCTAAAGAAGAAAAGAAAATGTCGTAGATGAAGAAAAAAAGAAAAGAAAATAAAATAGTTGGGAAAAACCAAAATCCATTTAAACGCAAAACGAAAGGAAAAGAGAAAAGAAATCATGTTGAAATGTGTTAAATTATTATAAATATATAGATGCAAGAAATTTATGTTTTATGGAAAGTAATTATTGAAAACCATTCATGATTCCATATTGATTACGTTCACACAGCATTAAAGAGAGATAGGGCGAAGAAATGGTTATAAGGTCTTTTGGGGGAAAAAAATAATGGTTAGGATATTTGTAATCTAATATAAAATGGTTTTTATAAATAATGTTTATAAAAACCATTGTATATATGCAAAAATTTCTTATAATTGTTGGACCTTCAAATTTTCTTATAATCCTTTTTCTCGCCATTGACAACAAGAAAAAAAGCTAAATGTTTAATGTTCTATACGAATGGATATTAGTAAATAATAAATATATTAAACAAAAAACACACACAAAACAGCCTTTATTGTATAAATTGATTGTAATATTTACTTTAATCCATAAATATATGTATACATTAATAATTATTATTAATTAATTAACTATTTTATTTTTTATAAACATAAAATAGTTGACTTTAGTTTAGCATATTTAATTCTTTAAATAATTATTTAATTATATATAAAACAAAAACGGAAAACAAAATAACAACAAGATGAAACAACGATGCTTTATAGTTATTATTATCTATATAACTTTATACATATACACATAAATATATCTATATAGTTTATATATAATTGAAACGTAATATGTATTTTTTTTTTTTTTTTTCATTTATAAATTTAAATTATTGAATTTAATTTTTTTCATTACCTTTTTTTTTGTTTTGTAAAAGCCAACCTCTCACATAACACCCCTTCTCATCCCACATTGTCCCTCCTTTCTTTCTCTATATATATGGAAATATAGAATGTTAGTTATAACGAAACCAGAAATATTGTAATCACTATATACATCTTTCTTCACTTCCGTAAAAATCGTTTTTTCGTCTCTCCTCCTCTGTTTCTCTGTTTCAATGTGAAAGTCCTGTAAAATCATTTGTCGCCACAAAAAATATCTATATCTCTTAAATGTTTCAAGTCCTTTGTTTGTAGCTATGATAGTTTACAGAATGTCACAAAAAATGAGTGGATAAAGTCCAGAATGGTTTCAAACCTGAATCCTGTGAATTTTTAATTATTCAACCACCCTTTTTTTGGTAAAATTTGCTAAGGAGGTATTCTAAAAGTTGTTCAAGAAATTGAATTCCTAAAATTTACGATCATAGATTTTTAAATAAAATTTTAGACGAAAGCCTTTCCTAACTGTTCTAAAGGTCGGAGTATATAAACAGCTAGAAGTCTTCGCATGGCATATTTTGTGACATATCATAAAGGGATGCCGCCAGAGTCGCACCCTTTTTAATTTGACATTAATATGCCCAGCCATGATGCCAAGTTGCTTACGTACCCTCACCCTAAGTATTGATCTATAAAAATTTGAAATAAAATCTCCTAGAAAACAAAAAAGCCCAATTAAAAATTTAATAAAACCGATATCTTTCATTTTATTTTTTTGATTAAAAAAAGAATACAGGCCAGACACTGCGGTAGTTCCGTCCATGTATATTATATAAATGTGCTAATTTTTGATATCTTCATTATGTCCTCATTTGAAAATCGAACGTCGTATTTTTACAACACATTTTTTAAAACTGGTTTAATCGAATAATATAATTGGAATCAGATTAGGAGGTTGTAAAACGTTGTTGAAGAATTTTAAAAATTTGAATTCTTAAAATTTTCGAACACGGATTTTAAAAATAGATTATTCTATTTAAATTTTTCAATTTTTTTGAACTGACCTGAGGATTGAAATTAGGGATTAAAATTTGAAATGAACTCTTCTATAAAAGAAAAAGACCAAAAAGCAAATATTTTTAATTTTTTTTTATATAAAAATAAGAATACAGGCCAAAGCGATGTAACTGGATACCGCGGTGTTCCGTCCATTTATATTGAACGTCGTTATGCCCTCATTTGAAAATCGAAAGACTTCTTTTAATAAAACATTTTTTTAAATTGGTTTAATCGAATGAATTGCGATCTGATTTGGAAATGAGCTTATACATATTTCTATATTTTTTGATGGAAATTTCCTGCACCTAGAGGTTTCTGCTTATATAAATAACTTAACTATGAGGCATAGTCTATGTGGTTAAGGGTGCGAAAAATGTAGAAATATGTATCAGTTCATTTCCTAATCAAATCGCAATTATATCATTCGATGAACGAATGAAAATCTTTATCGAATATTGGACATTTTATTCGATTTTGAGAAAGAATGTCTCTCGAGATTTACAATGCGTATGCAGACAATCCCCGCAGATTTTCTAACTACCTCCCCTTTATGAGGCTCTGTAATTTTTTCTTACAATGAATTAAAAATTCTACCAATAGGGTTCCAAAATTCGTCCATGCCTTGAAAATATTTGCATTATATACCGATATTCATAAAATTTCGCTACCTCATTTCAGAAAATTCCGGATCACCTCTTTAATTTTCCAACATTTTATGATTAACTCATATTTGTGGCATTCTGTAAACCCAATAAAATATTAACAAAATATACACTTAAAAATATTTAAAATCCAAAAAACGAAAATTAAAAAAACACAAAAAAATATTTTTAATGTTATATACAAACGAAAAAGTAACCAAACTCTAGCACTGATATCTTTACTAATTAACAAAATTAAATAAAGAACAAACATAACAAATATCCTCTATATCCTATATTCCAAAACAACAAAAAATTTTAAATGTAATTGCTAAAAAAAAACTTTCAAAATTGTTTCTTCCTGTTCTTGGAAAAAAAGTTCTTCTAAAAGAAAAATATTCTTGTAATTTAAATGATTGTCATACTTCCCTTATTTTTGTTTGTTATTAAATATTTCAATACAACAACAAGTGTCTACCCCCCAATTTCAAATTAAATATTTTGTAAATGTTTCTCTTGTTTTCGTGTTTAAGACGAAAGTAGTTCCAATTCACATAGTTGTAATTAACAATGTTTATTTTTTTCTTTACTTTTTTTTGTATTCTCATGTCTTGATTTAAATAAATTTATTACACATTTTTTAGGGGTTCCAAATTTAAAATTATTATACAAAAACGAGAACACACAAACAAAATCTATTCCTAAATATTATTTTTTTTTGTAGAAAATAACCAGGAATATATCTTTTTTAAAAAGAACCATTGTAGCTGTACTTTTCAAATGACTTCCTACCTTTAAAAACAAAAACAAAATATACATATAAATATTTTCAAACAATTTCAAAAAAAAAAACTTGTGTATTTTTTATTTTCGTTGGGGAGGGTGGGATAATTTTAAAGGAAGCTAAAATGTTTAAGGAAGGGGGGTAACTTAACTTTATTTCAATTTTATTAAAAAACTTGAAATTATATTTTCCATTTCATAGTTAAAAGGCGATGCCCAGGAAAATTTTCAAGAAATCAAAGCATACTTTGGGGCGCAAAAGTGAAATAATGCATTTTTGTCGTTTTACAACACTGGTTAAGACTCTTTCGTCCGCGCCATCTATTGACACGCATGATCCAAATGAGCCAATTATTTTTTGATGTGAATTTTCGACAACCTATATCATTTTTTAAAGCCGACCTAAAATTTAAAAAAAATCGTCATATGAAAGAGAAAATATTTCTCTTTGATATGAAAACACCAAAAATTTTCTTAATGTAATATTATATGACAATTCTTGGAAAAAATAGAAAAAACCTATTTTTACACTTCAAATTATTTATTTTCTGGAAAAGCATTGCACTTTGGGATAGACAAAGGACATTTCTTTTTTGGCACACCAATTTTATTCCAATATCTTAAGAAATTTCAAAATTTTTGTGGTAATTTTTTTTTTGGTAAAAAATTTTGAAAAAAATCATAGATTTCGTAAAACGAAAAAGGTTTTTCCGATTTTACCAATTTTTTCGATTTTAAAAATTTACGACAACATTTGACCAATTGCTTCGATTTTTAATGAATTTAATTCAATTTAATCAAGGAATTTATGGACTTTTTCGGTCGGGTTTAAAATTGTGCGATTTTTTTAAAATCAAAATTTATATATAAGCCGTATTAAAAAGGAACAAGTGCTTAAAATGAGTTAGGCTTAAAATTTTTTGTTTAAATTTTAGTCTAATTTTGTCAGGCATATTAAAAACTATATATGCGCGAAACTTAAATAAATATGAGATTTAAGAGTAACTGGGCTCAGGCTACGGTAAGACTTCGTTAGATCGACTTCAAATGCCAAAAACGGATTTTCTCCAAAGAGGTATAGGGTCTAAACCTGTTATTCCGATGAGGCACATTTTGACCTACCAAATGATCTAGCCACAACATCTTGGGGATAAAGACAACTCTATTCCATGGCAAATAATCGAGAAACCCAACTTTAGAATTTCCTAGAATTTCGAAATAAAAGTTGGCCTAACATGAAAACAATGCCCTTTGTCTATGCCAGACTACAATACTTTTCTAGAAAAAATGGAATACTAGGTTTAAAATACGTTTTTTATTATTTTTTTACACACTATGTCTCATAATGTTGCCTTGAAAAATTTTTTTGTGTTTTCATTTAAAAGAGGAATATTTTCTCTCCCATATGACAGTTTTTTGAAATTGTAGATCAATTTTTGATAATGATAATGGGGTGTTGAAATGAAAATTCACATCAAAAAATTTTTGGCTCATTTGTATCATGTGCGGCAATAGATGGCGCGGACGGAGGCTTCTTGGTCAGTGTTGTAAAACGACGAAAAATGGCATAGGCATTTTACTTGCGCCCCAGAATATGCTTTACATTTTTTAAATGCAGCTTTTGAGATCCTTAGCAACGACATCTAGTTTAGAGCAAAACACTAAAAAAACTACTGTGTAAATACGACCAGATGTTACTGAAACACCCTGTACCTTATGGTGGCAGTAAGCGAATATATTACAGAAACAAACCGATAGCACGAGTTTAATCGATAACATTATTAAACTGGGTGACGCTACCATTGAAAAATGGGAAATGTCTGAATGCCAAAAGTTATAGCATGTTTCCATTGGAAACCGAACAACGTTGTTCGCTCTTAGAATTATGTACACGAATTAACCCGTTCATAAGGCACGATTCGTAATTCATAGCAAAATAATTCATTTTTTCAAAAATTTTGTTTGTTGATTTTAATGGGAATTTATACGAAAATACATGAAATTCTTACTAATATGAATAGAAGAAATGATTGTTTTTCTCCCAAATATTTATTATATCATTAATTTTATAATTTTCATTCACGTTTTCAACTTTTTGTGTAAATGTTGACATTTTGAACATATTTTTGTATTTTTCTATTTTTAAATTTTGCTGGAGAGACACTTGTCAAACATTTTTTCTGCCGATACAAAGTTTTTGAAAATATTGCATCTTTTGTTTGCAGTTTTCTGTGGAAATTTCAACTTGTGGATAAAATGCGTACCTCGAATGAGAGAGAAAACAAAATGTACTTTCGTTTGAATGTACATACGCCATTCAACATTGTAGTTTTCATTCATAATTTTAAGTCTTCCCAAAAAATTTTAAAATTTCATTAAATTTTTCTATATTTAATTTTTAAATGTCATAATTTATTTTTTCGATAAATGCTCTCATTTGTTAGGGATGGGACATATTTTTTCGTTGTTCTGAGAGTGATTTGATTTGAACAACGTACAAATATGAGTGTTCGCTCAGGAAATTTTGTGTGAAGAATAATGTAGTTTTTTCATAGTTAAGGGTCAAACAACGAATAGAGAGCGAATCAAGTGCAGTGGAAACGCCACATTACATTGAATTATAGTTACCAAGTTACCATAAAGTGATTCATTTACCAAAGGATTATAACAAAAGCAAGTTCGCAAAAAGATTAAGGAATTTGGATACATATTGGGTCTAGAGTTGGAAAATATTCAGGGTTTCAAGTAGTTGCATTATAAATAACGGATTTGATTATTTTCCGAAAGGCTTTTCTTCTAACTTGCCATTTTTATACCCTCCACCAAGCTGTGGATGGTATATTAACTTTTTCATTCCGTTTGTAACTCCACGAAATACTCATGTTAGACCCAACAAATTATATATATTCTTGATCAGCGTAAAATTCTAAGTCGATTCAGCGATATCCGTCTTGTCTGTATTTTTCGTACGAATATAGATATAAAGATACAATTTTGCACATACTTGTATTTTGCTAGTAGGCAGGTTAGATTCGTAACCGGGCCTTGTCGGTCCACGTTTTCCTATAGCCCCCCTATAACGGTACCTCCCGATATTCGGTATTTTAATGATATTAAGGTCATTATTTACCCGAATCGTTTCAAATTTCGTATTGGAAGATCTTAATGAGTACTACAATCTATGACAAAAAATTAATTTTGCAGGTCCACGTCTTCGTATAGCCCCCATATAGCGGCATCTCACGATATTCGGCATTTTGATGATTTTAGCAACATTATTGTTTCAAATTTCGTATTTGAAGTTCGTAATGGATATCATAACCTATGACGGAAAATTGTCTATGCAGGTCCACGTCTTCGTATAATCCCCATATAACAATACCCTCCCGATATTTTGTATTTTGATGATTTTAGCGACAATTTTAACTGGAATTGTTACAAATTTCGTAGTTGAAGTTCGTAATGGGTACTACAACCGTTGACAAAAAATTTCGCATGCAGGTTCACGCCTTCGTATAACTCCCATATAATGATATCCCCTGATATTCGGTATGTTGATGATTTTAGGGACATTTCTAAGGGGAATTGTTTCAAATTTCGTAGTTGAAGTTCGTATAGGGTTCTACAGCCTATGACAAAATATCGCGTATGCATGTCCATGTCTTCGGATAGTACCCATATAACGATACCTCCCAATATTCGGTATTTTGAAGATTTTAGCTATTTGATTTGAAGGAAATTTCGTATTTGAAGTTCGTAATGGGCACTACAACTTACGACATAAAATTGTTTATCCAGGTCCACGTTTTCGTGCAGCCCAAATATAACAGTACCTCCCTTTTTCATTATTTTGATATTAGCTGAATTTTTCACCGGAATTGTTTCAAATTTCGTATGTAGAGGTATTAATGGGTACTACAGCCTATGACAGGAGAAGATGGAATCAATTGTTCGTCCTGAAAATACATTAAAAAAATCATATAATATATATATAATATTTTATAATTATAATATTTTTTGAGTTTCTCTAGTGATTTGATTACTTAAAAATTGTATCAAAAATTCTCTGCATTGAAAAATATCCAAATACATCAAAACTAAAAGCTACATATAAAACTTAAACATGAACCATTAAAGATCTACTCCCACTCCATGGATGACCTTAACCACATTCATGAATAGAACAAAAGTGCAGCAATATTTGCTTTTCCATGGCCATTTGAAAATGAATCCATTCAGCCACTAATTCTGCAGACCCATCTAAGCCATTCGTAATTTCCTGCTATCTCAAAATAGAAGAATTCCTTTATCCTGTCAAACAGCACCTGTTGCTAATTGCTTTTTTCTCCGTTGTTTTGACTGCTGCTGCTGCGACCACGCCATTGTTTTGAGCTGAAACAAACAAACAAAACAACAGCAACAATAATCAATGGAACTTTTAGTTAAATGACAGAGATTACAATTTAATGCTTCATTTTGCTACCATGCATGTATGCATAAAGAGAGGCGGGAGCAGGGAATTAGACAATGAGGAGACAATAAGCTAAACAAAAGGAATAAATGCCATATAAGGTCCTTAGAAGTCCATTAAAAACGGCTTAGAGTTAGTCGACAATGATGAAATGAAACACGCACATATATATGTATATGCGTGTAA